CATTAGAAACAAAAATCTTGGCACTGGGCATTATTATTTCCTTTAACATGTAAATAGGGACCAAGCATCACCAGGCATTTGCATAAATCTTACAAGGAAGAGAAAAATAAAATTAAATACTCAGCAAGTGACCCCAAGAACAGCAGTCTCCAACCTTCTTGGCACCAGGGACTGGTTTTGTGGAAGACAATTTTTCCACAGACCTGGGTGAAGGGATGGTTTCAGGATGATTCAAGCTCTCGACATTTATTGCACTTTATTTCTATTATTATTATTACATTTTAATATGTAATGAAATAATTATACAACTCACCATAATGTGGAATTAGTAGAAGCCCTGAGCTTGTTTTCCTGCAACTAGACAGTCCCATCTGGGTGCGATGAGAGACAGTGTCAGATCATCAGGCATTAAATTCTCATTAAAAGCATGCAACCTAGATCCCTCACAGGCACAGTTCACAATAGGGTTCTAGCTCCTAGGAGAATCTACTGCTAGTTGATCTGACATGAGGTGGAGCTCAGGCGGTAATGTGAGCAATGGGGAACAGCTGTAAATACAGATGAATGCGCACAATGGGGAACAGCTGTAAATACAGATGACGCTTCACTCACTCACTGCCTGCGGTGTGGCCTGGTTTGTAACAGGCCCCGGATCGATACTGGTCTGTGACCCAGGGTCTGGGAACCCTTGCCCAAGAAAGTAGTGCTAACTCAGGGTATAGGCAAACAAACAAAGAGAAATATGCAACATCCTCAGTTGTAAGATATGGTATCCAAAATTTAAGAACAGCATGCTAGGAAATAAAGTTAAATTATTTGCATAAGAAAGAACTCAAGGAAAATAGAAAAATGACAAATGCAATTAGTAAATTATTTTGAAAGTCAATAAAGCATCAGAAAATAAAGTCAAAACTCAGAGAAAATAATGCCAAAAGCCATAAGATTGTAGCGTGTATAAGAAAAGACAACACTCAGCCATCTTTCAAAGGAGCTCAATCAAGAGTTTTAGAGTAAGAAAGAGAACAGTCAAATCGGCGAAGGAGAAGCTATTAAAGAAATAATGCAAGAGAACTTCTCAGATTCAAAAGTTATACATCTCTGGATGGTTTTGATGGTTGAAAAGACCATCTCTAGATACATTATTGTGAAATTTAAGAACACCAAGAATAAACAGAATATGCTAAAAGCTTTTAAAGCAGGAAATTGCTGGTTCCTTAACAATGGAAAATAGCATTAGATTGACGTTCGACGTCTCAACCCCAATACTGGATGTTAGAAGAAAATATGTGAACATTTTCAAAGCTCTAAGCATAAACGCTTTTTCATTTCAGAATGTTATATTCCAGGAAACTTTCAATTAATTATTAAATTAGAATATAAACATTTTCAAACATATGGAGGAGTGGAAAATGCACATTCCATTAGTTTTCCTGAGGAGATTGCCAGATGTCCTGATCCCAACACAGTGAAAAGGGACATTATAAATGAAAGGCAGGGCTGTGGGAGAGAAAGGAAGTCATGGGCTTTCCTTGAATAAACACACATAAATGCCAGAATGACAGTTCTGCAGCAGGCCTCACAGAGAAGTCTGTCCAGGATAATGCTGCAGGGTAAGTGTTCTAAGAGGGCAATATCCAGGGAAAATGTGACATGGAATTTTGCACTATCGCTGAAATTCTGAATAACTCATACAGGCTCTAAGGGCAGACACTAATGCAATGAGAAATGCCAGGGAATAACCAAAATTGCTGTAAACAAAGCAAAACAAAAGCTGAGGGAATGCTATTATATGATACCACTTGAGGTCTATGGTATTTATAAAATTAATTGCTGATAGCTGCATGACTCTATTAGGAGCAGGTGAGAGGAAAGGGAATGCCCTATATGGTAGAGTCGTTATTTATCAGAACAGGAAGTCCATCTACAATGACTAATATTAGGAAATTCATGAATGGAAAAGCCTAAATTGAAAAAGTGGCAGTCTCTGGGAGAAAGGTAGAGTAATTCTGGGGGAGGAAAGGGATTTCCGGTTTTTTTAAAATTTATTTTTATAAACATCATTTTTTTCAAGTATGTATACATGTTATTTGTATATAAAATAAAAATGCATTACAATTTAATATATACATACAAACTTAGGCAACTAGTTAAATGTTCTATGGAAGAGGAAACTGGTTTTCTAGTTTTCTACCTTTCCATTGAGGGAGAGAGAGCCTCTGTGCTATTGATTTGGGCATTATTAGCATATAGATGGAATTGAAGCCATAAAGTTTTGCATCTGTCCAAACAGAATGTGGAAGGACAAGGCAAGAAAGCCTCTGACAGATCCCAGTCATACCCGAGGTAGGTGTCATAAAAATTGAGGGAAGAAAATTGAGAGATTGATCAGTCGTCATAATACAGCCAACATTTTGAGTTTCTGATTTGTTTCAGGGAAAGTTCTCTTTACATATATTAACTCATCTAATCCCTCCATGAGGTTCACACTATCATCTATATTTTCCAAATGAAGTAAATAGAGATGTGATTGCTTACACACATTTCCCTAGTTCATAGACTTTATACGTGCAGGATCTGGGGTTTTAAACAGGCATCCTGTCTCTGGAGCTCATATTCTTAGCAGTCCAGTTATCCTAACCTGTGGAATGCTGCCAAGAAATCAAGGAGAGGGAACTGAGGGTTCTTTGACTTTAATGCCCACAGCAGCCACTGACTTTCCTTGAAGAAGTTCAGCTCCACATTAACAAGGGATGGGGACTTATTCAGCAAACAATAATCAAACATCTAAAATGTGCAAGTCTCTGTCTTGGAACACATGTAGAAATAGAACTAAATATGTGGCTCCTTTATGCAAGAAGCTCATACATGAGTTGAACTTCCCATTCATGACATTCAAGGTCTAGAGAAGCTATTACAGTTAACACATCCTTTCTTCTGCCCCACACATCCCACCACAGAAAAGATGTTCACTTTTACCCTCCCAGAACTATATTCTCCATTTAAGAAACTGAGGCTGATTTTATTACATTTTTAGGCTCTGTATGCATAGGGACAGCTTGACTATGCTAATCAACATTACTGAGTTTCTAGATGATGCAAGTGCCTTCATTTCAAATCTAGGGATGTTGCAGACCAGCAAATTGCGTTAATTTGGCTTTTTTTGTTGTTGTCAATTTGCACATGCATGTGTTGTGTGTGTATTGTGTTCTCACACATGCAGGGAGCCAGGAGTTCTCATGTTATGATAATGCAGAAAGAAGGAAACAGTTCTGCTACTTTAAAATGACACTTCCCATCCTGACAAGTGTCCTTTTGTTCCTGGGTTTTCTCTTGCTGTATTTCCTGAGAGTTTTTTTTATATTTCCATTGCTTTGTTTTTATTTTTCTCAAATTCCTTCTTTGCTGGTTGTTCCTTCAGGAGACCCTGAAGTGCACAAAGGGTTGAAGTTACCACATCATAAAAATGCCAGGAGGTTAGGAGCTACTGAACAAATAATAGCAAACACCTTCACAGAGCATTTCTATTCTGTTCTAGCCTCTAAGCAGATTCATCTTTCTCGCTCTTTTTATTTCATGCATATTGATTCTAGGACTGTTTTGTATAGATCCACTGTTTTAACTCCTCATAGAAAAAAAGTGAGGGCATATAGGTGTGCAATTACACTAGGTTAGCAACACAGCACCATGTATACAGTGAATAAAACACATTCTTCACTGGAGGTTTGAGCTTTCACCAAACAGCATGCCCTAATTTGCCCTAATGTCCTGTCCTCTGAGCGATGGCAGTGATCAGCAGATGATGGTGCTGGGGGCACCAGCTGAGCTGAATGAAAGCATACTGAGTTGAAATCACTTTAGCTTTGAAGCAAACCCCTCATTAAGAAACATGCAATGCAATATTGACTATGGTAAGGATGGAGGCAACGGCCAGTGAAGACAGCATTGGTAAAAATAGCACACATTCACTCCCAACACCAGCATTGAATCCATTATGAAGTCATTTCTTTCCCCTTTTCTAATTCAACATTCTTTTTAAAAGCCTCCTTCAATGCTATTCAATGAAAGCAACTGCGATTATCTGAGTAGCAGGTGGCAAAGCCTCAGACCGAAGAAACAGTGGTCATTCCAGAGGCAGCCCTAGGGAGCCTGGTGTCCACTGCCCTTTGAGCCAAGAGGGCACCTTCAGATGCTTTCTGAGAGCTGGTTTCTCCTGCCATCACACTGAATCTTTATGTGAAGTGTTCTCCTTCATTTAAATGAGCTATAAAATAAGAGGCTTCGAGAAATACAGCCTGTGTCAAGTGGGATTTGAGTATATAAATGTCTCCAAACAGTCTGTATTAATGGTAGCCTGGAGCCACTCCTGTAGCAACAAAGTCCTCAAGTGTAATGAACCATTACAATGAAGAGAAACAGTGACTTGGTCCTAATTCCAGAAATATTCTCATTGAAATTGTGTTACTGAGGAATTATTCTAAACGTATATAAGGATATTTTCTCAATCCCAAATGTATACTCTCGCCTAGAATTTTAGGTTTAACTGGCTTTCCCTTGATTTAGTAGAATTGATAATTTTGGTGATCCATATTTGCAAATTTCCAAAGCAGACATCCTACTCCATGTGAAATACTGGCGGCAGGATCTCAGCATTTTTTGAGGTGATTGCTATTTTTTCGTGACCTGGAATTTCAGCATCTTGCTTCAGCAGAGGTGAAAGTGCTACTTGTGCAGAGGCCAGAGAGGAGGAAGCATAGAACCCATCCAGGCGACATTCATTCATGTGATAAAACCAGTCCTCCCTGCCATTTTGCTCTGCTCTTGCGTACTCTCTGGATATGGCTCTGTTGTAACATTCTACACCTTGGTCTTATATTCTCTTCTTGGTCTTATATTCTCTTGTTGTTCTAATATTCTCTTATTGGTTCTTCCATCAAATTGTTTTTTTCCTGAGAATTTTCTTGCCTTATGTTTTTCTTTTTTTTAAATTTCTTTTTCTTTTTAAGAACATGGAACGCTTCACGAAGTTGCGTGTCATCCTTGTGCAGGGGCCATGTTAATCTTCTCTGTATCTTTCCAATTTCAGTATGTGTGTTGCCAAAGCAAGCACTGCCTTATGTTTTTCTATAGCTCTAGCATATAGACAGTACTGGTCACACAGTAGGCATTTAATTCTTGCTTGTTACATGAATACCTAATGAAAGTCATACCTAAACTTACAGAACTACTGCTCCAGCTGTGAGGAATCTTAACTGGTGCACATTTGATGAATAAGGAAACATCAATTGCCTAATAAATCCATGTCTGAAGTAGCAGACCCAGGAGCGAAACTCAGGCCATCTGCCCCCTCGCATTGGCTGCTTCACTTGCTTGAAAAGCTCCTTCAGATTCAGTGTGCATCTGAGCCGAAGCTGTGCCATGAAGTGGAAAGATGGGTGAGCAGTGATCCTAAAGTGTTTCTAAACTGCCAGGGATTTTAAAGCTGTGCCAGCGTTTTGAACGAGAGAGTTCCAATGTTGGTAGGCAACGATTACTATCTGAGGTTGTGAAAGTGATGGTGGTTGTGGTGAGAGGGTTTGAGGATCAAGTGCCATACACATTTAAATGAGCTCTATGCCTCTAAGCACCTGCTCTGTGCAGGTCATTTGTAGCACAGGCATGGGCTAGGGGCGGCATTTGAAAATAAATGAGGAACCTACTTAAGATCAAACCAAGCTGGAAAGCTGTTGTGACTATATAAAATGGTCACTGGAATCGGAAAAGAAACTTGGCATCCAAAAATCTAGGTTTGAGTTCAGAAAAATATCACTTAGCAGCTTTGTAATGCTGAGAAGTTTACTTGAAGAATCTGAGCTGCAGTATCCTAGAAAGTATTAGGGAGAATGCTTTTAACAGCCAATAATAGACTGAAGATGGCTTACATTGTAAAATAATTTACTGTCTCACTTACACTGAAGTAAGGAAGTCGGTGCTCCTAGAATTGGTGAGCTGCAGAGACTGTTGATGATGAAAAAACACAGGGACCTGCCTGCTTTGGCTGTCACATTAAGTGCCAGCTTGTTGGAAGTGCTTCCACAGCAATCATAGGGTGGCTGCACCAGCTCCAAAAGTTCAGAACATACACAACAATAATCCAAAGCAGAAAAGGGAGAGGGAACAGCAAGCCTCTCCTTGTTGGTTTGTCATTATTAGGAAATAAATATTTCCCAGAAGTCTCTCTACAATTCACTGGCTGGAATGCATGCCTTCACTCACACACCCAAGTCAATCCACAGTGAGGGGAAGTCATCCATAGGGCTGGTTAAGAGGAGCAGGATTCATACCCTGGGGCCTGGCCCACTGCAGCTGCAGACCTGAATAGAGTGGGAACCCCAAGAGTAAGGAGGAAAAGGAATTGATGTTTGTTAGGAAACCCCTCCATCAACCTTTCCTGAGGCTTGAGGAGATGGGAACAAAAGTGCACTTGGTCAACCATAAATCAGTGTACAAGGTAAAGTTATTTCCATCATAATTATTTTCACTAACAGTGAGTATTGGTACCTGGAGCATTTTGGCTCTTTTCTTCACCAAGAGAAACTCCACAATAATGGGTTATCTGAGAAAGGGAATAATATCCATTTCTTCGTTGGTTTCTGATCTTAGGTAATGGATCTGGTAGCTAGGACAATGAAAACCTTTGTGCATGTTCTCTAAGGGCACTGTGTCCTGTGCCCAGTGGAAAGCGAGAGGGTGATGGAGAGGAAGCATGAGGAGCAGCATGCAGAAGTGAGGTATGAATGGATGTTACCTGGGGCTTCCCCACTCCTGCAAGTCACTCTTCCCTGGGAACATTCCATACGCATGCATCTAGACTGTGTGGCCCAGTTCATTGATCAGAACAAACTGATCCCGGAGAGGATACTGGACTGCAGCTGGTGCAGTCGTTTCCTCATCCTTTGAAAACTGGGAACAGAGAGACACAAAACTAGAAGTCGTGACAGCAGAGCACCCTACAGGACAGAGCTTTGGTGGGAAGGCCCCTGCCCTCCAGCTCTTGAAGCTCTTAGCGTGGCCCTGGCCCTTTAGATTGCAGGGGAGACTAGGCACTTGCTTATGAGGAGAGTACTTGTGAACTAAACAAGCTATTCCCTCATCCCCCACTCCCCTTTTTCCTGTGATATTATTTCCTCTTAACCACTGCACCACCACTACTGACACTGAGTCAGTGGGTCTCTTCCTACCTTCAGAGTTTCAAAATTTTAGTTCTGAGGAGAGAATAGAAATAATTCCGAAAACACAAAATAAATTAACGCATCTAATCTTCCCTCCGGCTGATAAAGCTTATCTGTCTGGGAGAATCCTAGGGAAATCAATGAGAGCTCAGATGCTAATGGTTTTTACCACCACCACCATGTACACACATTCTCACACACACATACACACATACATGCACACACTTACATGAATCCATGCACATGCTTACACAGATATACATGCACATGTGTACACACACACACACACACACACACACCCTCCCTCTCTCTCCTTACCACCACTTCCCCATCACACAAACTTGATTCTAGGTTGCAGTGATGAAACTCCCAATTTGGTTGTAGGATCTGAAAACAGAGAAATGGTTTTCTCTTTCCTTGGAAATGCCATTGGACTCCAGAGGAATGACTGTGCATGTGACTAGACAGAAAAACATTAGTGTCTCACTGAGGTCCTGGTACCTTGGTGCACTATAGGAGGAGAAACAGAGCACTGGTGTGCAGCCAAGCAAGGAATGACTGAAGAGAAGACAGTTCTTGGGTCTGAAGCCAGACACAACAGAGCAACCACTCGGCCTGGACGTCCCCACAGATGTCAGCGTGGGCACAGGGCCCTGAGGACAGAGCCACACCACAGGCCACTGAAGTCCTCTTCCCTCAGATCCATATGTAAGTCTGAGTGAAAGGCAGCACAGCTAAGGGATAGCTACAGTGAAATGCAGATTGAAATAGAAAAGAAATGAGCTTTTGAAGGGGAAATAATGTTTCTGCATATATACATGATATATATCTATATATGTTTGTGAACTGAGATTTATAATCATGATACTTTCAACAAATTTCTTTTTATGCTTAAGTCATACAGAATGTAATTTTGCTGGAGGTATTTTTTAAAAATTTTTATGTGTTTTACTTCAACCAAGAGAACATAAACCAATACCACCAGACATCTCATCTAGGTCTTTGTGTTACAGACACCAGACAAGCAGAATGTAGGAGGAGGTTTTTTTTTTTTTTTTTTTTTCTTGAGACAGAGTCTCACTTGTTGCCCAGGCCAGAGTACAGTGGCACGATCTTGGCTCACTGCAACCTCTGCCTCCCGGTTCAAGAAATTCTCCTACCTCAGCCTGCTGAGTAGCTGGGATTACAGGCATGCACCACCACACCTGGCTAGTATTTTGTATTTTGAGTAGATATGGGGTTTCACCATGTTGGCCAGGCTGGTCTCAACTCCTGACCTCAGGTGATCCATCCACCTTGGCCTCGCAAAGTACTGGGACTACAAATAAAGTTTTTATTGAAAACGTACACACATATATAAAATTATGCAAATCATAATCATCCAGCTTGATGGGTTATCACAGATCAGTCACCCATGTGACCAACAGTCATACCAATAAATCAAATATTACCACATTTCTCAAACCCCTCCCAGTCATTGCCACATCCATTGTCTCCAAGAGCTAACACTAGTCAGACTTCTCATACCACTACTGGCTTTGCCTATTATGGACTTCTATAGCCACAGAATCAGGTATGTATCCTTTCATGTCTGATTTCTTTCATTCGCTATCTATTTCTTTGCTATGCCTCCTCCCGCCCCCGACATACACTTGTACACTGAATATCCCAGTCATTTCTTATACTCTTCAGAAACAGTACACATCTATTCACTTGTTATTTATTTTTTATCTGTCCACAGTATAGTAATTTTGGACAGTAGCCTTGTTTGCCTTACTCATCACTGTAATTCCAATACATAACGGTGCTTAACATCAGTAGGTGTTCAATAAATATTTGTGGATTGCATAAATTAATGATTTGAGCATTTTCTCCAAAATATTTTTTCTCTACAAATATATGTTCTCAACGTGAAAGAAGTATTTGGCCGTATTTATCTGGCTTCTCAAGTGGCTTTGAGCTCAGAAGCAGACTTTTTTATTTGTACTCTTGTGCAGTAATCAGAAAATACCATAACTGAAGGAGTCAGAGCATCACGCAGTAAAATGAGGTGCATTTTGGAGTGAGCTATCTATTTGACTTGGATAATTTGGAAATGGGAACTTCAGTGATAACTTCAATCACGGAACAAAACAAGGCTTGTGGGACAGGTTTGGCATACTGACTGAGCGAGTTTCTAAACTAGCAATAAATAAGCAATATCTTATTGTGTAGCCTGTATTGTGGATCTCTTGGGTTCTCATACTCCATCAACATTCTATTTAAGGAGCAGGTGACTGCACATTTAATGAGGACTTCCTACCTCTCAGTGCATTTTCTGTCCTGTGAAATGAGCTGACCCTTTCAGTTACAGACAAAACGGCAGGACAACAACTGGTCTCCCCCTACTGCCACCTGCACAACCCACACTGAGGGACAAGGTCCAGCCCAGGGGCTCACTGGGTAGAAGAGAGGCAAACTTGGGTAACTACTAGAGAAAATCAAAGAGGGAGGCCACTCTGCTATGGGGGTGACCTCTGACATATCAACTTACCCAGTAGCAGAGCTCAAACCATTGGTATTCTCTGAATTTGAAAAACCTCTCTTTCTTCCAAAGGAAGGAACAAGAGCCTCACATAGCACAACCTCAGGTGCAAACTTTCACGTTGGTTCTATAGATAAGATCCCTTGGAAAACAGGATTCTTTGCCAATACTACCCCAAGAGCACAGAGGTGTTTTGTGGACGTTCCTACTGCCTAAGCCATCTCCACCTGGACAAAGATAATATTTTTTCCCACTCTTAGGTTTTCCCTGTCATGTCTGGGGGTCACAAAACAAATGTATACTGCCCCTCAGCTGATCTGCTGTTTCTCTCCTGAGTAAAGTTGCCATCTGCTGAAACAGCATTTCTTACAATTT